GAAATGGGCACCGTGAGCCTGACACAGAAGCTGGCAGCAGTGGCAGACAACTAAGTGCATTTACATTAGATAGAAAAAAAAAATCCAAAAAAAGCATACCCTTATCCCTAACCTAGCTATGCTTTTCCCTATCTTATGAACATCAGCTACACTTTCCCTCCTCTTACTAAGCATGCAGCTTGAGAATGAATCTAAAATGGATGCTGTCCAGTAGGTGGGAGGGTCTGCTAGGGAGGCTGTGCTGCCAATTGGCTGGAATGTGTCTGCTGACTGTGAGGTACAGGGTCAAAGTTTACTCAATGATGACGAATAGGGGGCGGGTCGAACCGCGCATATGTTCGCTCGCCGTGGCGAACGCGAACATGCTATGTTCGCCGGGAACCGTTCGCCGGCGAACCGTTCGGTACATCACTACTCCTGTTGTAACATTATGTAACACAGCAAACAAAAGGCAGAAAAGGGAATGGTATGACACATTGTTAGGAGGTGCTGGAACCACTATGGGTATACTAAATAGTTATAGATATGGAGACCCTCAAGAATAAGTTAAACATGGCCAGCATGCATATAGGGACTGGTTTCCATGCTACTGCAAACTGGGCTCCAACTGTTGTTAAATCACAGGTTACAAGATTGGATTTAGATAAATCGATGTATAACTGTTTAGGTAATTTAACTGTTGCAACTAAGAAATTCACTACAGGTCTAAGTAACTGGAGTACTTGTGCCATCAGGTATTTATGGATGCAACAACAAAGATTGGTATTAGAAAACACACTAATGATTCCTAAACGATTAGAGGAATGCTAAACCTCACAGATAATGAATGGTTACTTCTAAAACCCCAATCCACTAAATGCAATGAATGGTTAACTGGTAATGTTTCACATTTTTATGCTCATGCTATTTTACACTATATCATACATCATCAAAGGATGTTAAATTAGCTTGTCAATTTAACACATTACCAGTACCAGTTTATGATCTCTGTGCCATGAATTTAACCTGGTGGGCACCCACATACACAGGGGACTATATTTTTCCCAAAGATAACACACACAGGTAGCCACACATATCCTAAAAGGAGAACTCCTTAAGGTGAGTTCACAAATTCAGAATGATTTAGCCCATCATTGGTACAATGCTTTACTGGTTGGTCCCCTACTGGATCCCAGATAATGAAATCATTCTTCTATCCTTTTGTTATTATAGTCCTGATTTTATTGTGTATGATTTTATATAACTGCCACCTTACTTGTACATTGAGGAAGAGAATACAGAAATTAATCCATAATGCAGAACAGAAACAATTGGAAATTCTCCTCTCTGCCACTGGAGGGTATCAACCCATATTTAAAACTGGGCCTTAGGAATTACCACATGGGAATTGAGGTGAAGAAATTAACAAGTCCCGCAGGGAGTGACTAGCACCCGTGAAAATACCATGTGGAAGTTTCTCTGTCCTGGTAAGATTTTATCAATAATATGAGCAAATTTTTGCTCAAAGAGGGGAAATGTAAGAAAATGAAATAGTTATCTTTTCTTGTTCATATTGTAACAAACCACCTCTTTTACAGGTAGGATGTTGTCACTGATCTTGTAACCACAGCCTTCTAGGGTTATATACAGGTGTTTCAAAAGTAAAATAAACAAAACAAAATTCCTTGCTCTTGTTTGAGCACTTACTAAACAGAGTAATTACTATCTGGAATTGGGTGGCTTTCCCACTTACCAATTTTCAAAAAAACAAAATAGCTTTGCAATAAACACAATAGTTCTCTCTCCTAGCTGGCTTTTTCTCCCTCACTCTGTAGCAGGCTGATCTCTTCTTTTAAAGGCCTGTCTGCTAATTGACCAGCTACAGGTGAGTGCCAATTAGTTAACTATTAAGTCAAATCCAAATTCTGGTCTATTACACAGCAACTAGTGCTGTTGGAGCATTGGTCCACCCTGCTCTCCAAATGCTCCGCCCCAGGGACCCATACCATGTTTTGTAGAGCATCAGCAATGTATATTGCAAACTTTAAATCCCTCCTTGGGGCATTTAACTAAAAATTCTCTGGCTGCTGTTTAGCAAATCAGGCCTGACGTATCTTCCATCAACCACTATTCCACTTTTTTTGCTCACAATATGTATTTTATGCTTAGATAAGGTTTATAATCATTATTGCTGACTGAAATGACATGAAACAGTTAAAACTCTTTTTGCTTTGTATGCTTTAAAATAATGTATGACATAATTATGCTAAATGTGGCAAGACTTAAACAATAACATTCTTCCTTCTAGAGGATGTGCGACATTGCTCAATCTCAGGATGTTCTTGCCCAAGTCCGATCTCAGGATATTCTTGCCAAGACTTCATTCAAATGCTTATCTTTCTATTGTCAGACTAGTGTGTACTATTATTTACAAGGAAACGATAAATCTTACTGTTTGTACGACAAATCCCACAGCTTATGTAAGAAACTGTATAAAAGTCAGCTCTGAAATATACTCATTCGAGAAATCTTGTCAAAGCATCCTGTTGTCTGTGTCTTTGATGCTGACAATGATTCTCCATCAACATTGATTTTGGTGACCAAGGGATCGAGAACCGAGGGGAGTTGAGTCCATTACAGCATTAACCCTTTCACCTTGGGTCCAGGGTGGGTGGAGACGGCGAGACCCCAGCGCAGCTGCATAGTTGGAAGTGGGGTATGCAGTGCTGATGGTGTCGGTTGGAGTGCTTGGAGTCCTCGGCGTGCACTAGGAGCATTGATTGGCGGAGGTACTCGGTCGGAGTGCCAGCGGTCCGTCACACTCCCAGAGGGACCTGGTGGAAAACTGTGACAAGCTTACACAGTAACCAATGACAAACATACACATGGTTAAACACTCCCACAGGCACATTGTAAACCCTCCTCTCTATCCTGGAGATAATTGGGTAAAGTGCTGGAAGTAACTCAATTACCTCCAGGGATAGAGCATAATCTTCATTTTACATACATAGTAAAAATACATAAAAATCTACCGAATGAAACCCCACATTTGACGTATCCCCAGATAGCTTAGATCTGAGCGCACAATATTACCGAATAGTGCTCAGATCTCATACATACAGTTCAATCGCCATGGAGACTATGTAATTGAGTTACATAGTCTTTAGTTATACGAATGGGCTCCATGGGATAGCTATCTGAGGTAGCTCCGTTCGTATGATTATGTCCCGAAAGGGCCCGGAATTCGTATGGGCTGGTGAACAGAACAAAGGGGGTCGGTGGCTTCAGCGGTGTTCGTATGAACTTGTGTCCATTTTTAGTTCCAGAGATTTGTTGACTAACACCGCTGGCCGTTCTACTGTTTAAGATGGCTGCCGCCACGTGTTCGGCTATACGAACGATGGCCACCCAGCGTTCGACAATTAAGCTGTGGTTAACCGCAGTTTCTGGGTGGTCAGTTGCCTGCACACTCCCTATGTAGGTGGCCGGCTGTTCGGTGGTTTGTTCGGTAAATGGATTTTACCGAATAACATAGTAGAAACGCATGAACAAGCCATTCTACAGGGAAGAACAAAGAGTTTAACATAGGGGCCATAATCCTGAGGCAGCAGGCGAGCAACCAGGCTTCTCCAGAACCCAGTGGCAAGGTTATTTTTGCCACATTCATTAACCAAATTGAGTAGCATTTTGAGGCCTCACCAGCATGGGCGTCCGCAGGGGGGGGCACTTGCCCCCCCCTGGATTTTTCAGCTTGTTCTGCTATTTTGTGTGAGATTTAAAATGAACTGCAATACCGGCGCCGGCCAGTAGGTGTATGGAGAGAGACAGGGATAGGAAGCTGCATCTTATCCCTGCTTCTCTCTGCTGATTGAAACCGCAGGGGAACAACACATGCAGCCAGAGACAGCCTACAGATCAGGTAAGTGGGGGATGGGGGGAGGGTTTGAGAGGGGGGCAGCAGCCTATAGATTTGGGGGGAGGGGCAGCAGCCTTTAGATTTGAGGGCAACTAGCCCATGGGTTGGGGAGAGGTGAACAGCTTTTTAGGGTGGGGGCAGCAGCCCTTAGATTTGGGGAGGGGGCAGCAGCCTATAGATTTAAGGACAGCAGCCCATACCAAGATTTCAGGGGGGGGCAGCAGCCTTTAGAAGGTGGGGATGGGGGCAGCAGCCTATAGATTTGGGGGGCAACACAGCCCATAGATTTGGGGGAGGGTGAACAGCCTTTAGGAGTAGGTAGGCATTGTATGGAATTTAGAGGGGGGGCAGCAGCCTTTAGATTTGGGGGGGCAGCAGCCCATAGATTTGGGGAGGGGGGCAGCAGCCCATAGATTTGGGGGCAGCAGCCCATAGATTTGGGGGGGCAGCAGCCCATAGATTTGGGGGGGCAGCAGCCCATAGATTTGGGGAGGGGGCAGCAGCCTATAGATATATAGAAATGAACAGGAAGGGTCAGCAAGGAGCTGGAAGGTAAAGCAGCACAAAGGTAAAGTAGAAGGAGCAGAAAGGGTCAGAAATGAACTGGAAGGGGCAGAAGGAGCACAAACATAAAGTAGGAGAATGAGCAGGAAGGGCCTGCAAGGAGCAGGAAGGAGCACAAAGGGACAGCAAGGAGCACAAAGATAAAGGAGCAGAAAGAATCAGAAGAAGCACAAAGGTAAAGTAGGAGAAAGAGCAGAAAGGGACAGCAAGGAGCACAAAGGTAAAGTAGAAAAGGGAGCAGAAAGGGTCTGCAAGGAGCAGAAAGGGATCAGAATGAGAAAGGAGCAGAAGGGCGCAAAATAAGCAGAAAGTAGCAGAAAGGTAAAAGAGCAGAAGGGGCCAAGGATAGAAAACAGTGTCAGAAGAAAAAAAAAGACTGTCAAATGAAGGAGAGGAAAAGGAGATTGGAGCAGGAAGGACAAATGAAGTGAACCCTCCACTTTATTCTGGACACCACATCATAAGGCTTTGGTACCTGGGCCTGGCAGGGAAACGCTGGACCTTCTCATCTCCAAAGGTAAAAAAATATCAGTATTAATGTGTTCACTTTTATTTACTGAGTGTCAGGAAGCACAGAGTGCCGTTGGGTAGGGGTGTTGCTGATTGGCTAGAGCGGTCAGCTGGCACTCTAAGCCAATCAGTAGCTCCCCATTCATAAAAAAGTAAAAATATTTTATGAACCGGGAACTAGCGATTGGCTTAGAGCGTCAACTGACCACTCTAGCCAATCAGCGGCACCCATGCCTGACGTCAATCTGCACTTCCTGACACTCTGTTTCAGAAGCCAAATACCACTGAGCGACCTGGAGCTGGAGGAAGCCTTTGGGGTTAAACCATTTGAGAGCGATTTAACCCCTTAAAGGAAAGCGAGCACCCAGGGGCTTCCTGGCATCATAGCATTTTCATTTAGGTGAAGTTGTTATGGTGACCAGAAATGTCCTTTAATTTGCTTAAAGGAACACTATAGTGTCAGGAATACAAACTATATTCCTGACACCATAGTTGTGAAAACGCTATTCACCCTGGCTTTATGTGATAATGGCTATGCCCCTTCCCTTTCATGACACTGTCAAAAAGGTACCAAGCATGGATGTCATTACAATTATGCCCCCCCCTGGAAAAATTCCTGTGGACGCCCATGCTCACCAGGGTTTTTTCCCATTGACAGAGCTAACATTGGTTACCTGATGAACGAACTTAAAGATAAAGCTTTAGCTTGGGCCAATCCATCATGGGAGAATAGTATGAGCATTGCACCCAATTACCAGGAATTCCTTGCAGAATTTAAACTTACGTTTGAACCATTAGGCAGGGAGGATGACACCTCCACTGCCCTAATGCATATTAGACAAGGGAACCGGTCAATCTCAGAGTATACCATAGAATTTCGCACATTGGCTTCCGAGGTAGACTGGACTAACAGCAGATTAATCTCTGCATTTAAGAAGGAATTATCTGAGACTATGTTGGATGAGATTGCCGACAAAGAACATTTCAAGTTCTATGCAGATAAACGGCAGGTTGCCAACCACGTTTACCAAGTGGGTGACAGGGTATGTTATCATCGCGCAACATTAAATTGAAAATACCTAGTATGAAGTTTGCACGCATTCCTGGGCCCTTTTCGTATCCTTCAGAGAATTAACCCTGTGTTGTATTTTCTGGCCCTCCCGGCCTCATTATATATTCCCAATACCTTTCATGTGTTGCTACTCAAACCTCTTGTTTGCAATAAGTATACTGTCCCAAGTATTCCCCCTCCTCCCTTGGTTGTTTCTGGACAGGAGGAATATGAGGTCTCCTCCATAACTGATTCCAGGTTTTCTCGGGGTACTTTGTCCCGGCCTCTGATATACATGCTGGCCGCAAGATTCGCTATTTTCATGCTAAATTTCCTCTTAAGTCTGTTTCTGCCTGCCCGTTCTTCAGGTGGGGGGTAATGTAACATATTCTTCCTCACCTTGCGGTCTCTGCACCCAGGAGCCGTGCGTCTGCATCACTGACACTTGCGGCATGCTAGTGGACGCTGGCCACTGTGGATCCACGTCAAATTATACCCCCACATCCGCTCATGTGATTGACGACGCACGTTTTGAGGTCAAAGATCGATCTTGGCTGCATTGCCGTTTTGTTTGCCTGGCCTGTACTGCATCGTAAAGTTTTAGGGTTGTAAAGCCAGGCTCCGGCGCAACAAACGGTGGTTGTCTCCAGGTACTCGATTCAGCCAAATAAGAGGGTTAAAGTCAGTCATAAGTGTAAAGGGACGGCCATACAGGTATGGTTGTAGTTTTTTCAGTGCCCATACTAGGGCCAGGCACTCTTTTTTCACGGTGGCATAACTGACTTTAACACCTTAAGGACACATGACATGTGTGACATGTCATGATTCCCTTTTATTCCAGAAGTGTGGTCCTTAAGGGGTTAACTGACTCTGGGTAATAGTTTCTGGCTGAGATATGCCACCTGGTGTTCCATCCCGTCGTCCCCCACTTGACTTAACATGGCTCCCATCCCAAACATGGAGGCATCTGTGTGCACAAGAAATTGTTTAGTATGGTTCGGGGCTGTCAACACAGGTTGTTCGCTTAGTGCAGTCTTAAGTTGCTGAAAGGCGACCGTGCACTCCGGGATCCAGGTTATTTGTTTAGGAAGGGCCTTTTTGGTGAGGTCCGTGAGGGGTTTGGCCAGGGTGCTATACTCGGGGACAAGCTTGCGGAAGTAGCCCGCTGTTCCTAGGTGAAGGGTGTAACAGGAATGATTTTAATGGTGCCACAGTGGCTTTTATGCAAGTCCCCAAGCAAGGGGCACTCCCACATGGACCTTCTGGGGGACAGGGACACAAAGCGTACAGCCAATTACAATACAGTGACAAACTATGACACTCCCAGTACAAACATATAATTCCCTCCTCTCTGCCTGTATATAATTGAGTCAGATACTGTAATAATTATCTCAAGGCAGAAAAAACACAGTTTCCCCAATGTGACAGACCATCCGCCAATCAA